CTCACCAGGGCAGGGAATACACTTTAGCAGCACAGCAGATTTGAAGCTCATTGGCTATAGTGATTCTGACTGGGCAAGCTGCCCTGACACCAGAAGGTCTGTGACAGGCTATTGTACATTCCTAGGATCATCACTTCTCACTTGGAAGACAAAGAAGCAGACAACAGTGTCCAGATCATCTTCAGAGGCAGAGTACAGAGCTCTAGCACACTTAGTCTGTGAAGTTCAGTGGCTGAGAAGATTACTTGCTGAGTTAACAGTTCAGGTACCCCTTCCTATACCAATCTATTGTGACAACAGATCAGCAATACACATTGCTGAAAACTCTGTCTTCCATGAAAGGACTAAGCATATAGAGATAGATATGCATGTCACAAGAGAAAGGATTAAGAGTGGACTGATCAAGCTTCAACATGTGGGAACTGTGAACCAATTGGCAGATTTGTTCACTAAGGGATTGGACAGGTTTAGAATTGCTGAGTTACTGGTCAAGTTGGGGATTAAGAGTGGAACTGAATCGCCAACTTGAGGGGGGATGTCAAGGTACAAGAACAGAAGTGCAGCAAGGGTTTGCAGAAGAAGAAGGAATCCTGAAGGCTTGCGGATTGCAGCAGGAAGAAGATAAGTAGAAGAAAACGTCGTCGTATCTCTATTTCTATTTATGCTTGTTGAGGAAAACGTTATCGTTTTGTTTATTGTTGTTAGCCGTTAGAGAAGCACTGTTAGCTTCTTAATAGACCAGTAGAAAGTAGACAAGTGTAAAAGCAACTGTTAATTTGATTTGGTTGCTATAAAAGAAACAGAGGACTCAGCTGCTAAGACTGAGCTTCCTCTTCCCAAATCTCTTGCAAATCACACCATCATCGTCATCTAGATCTGTGGGAAAGGCTGGTAGGAAGAAAGGAAAAACACGAATTTCGCTGGAAGAAAGGAAGAACACATATTCCACGAACCCATATGTCGTCGGAAGAAAGAAAGAAAATTCAAATTGAGCGTTGTAGGATTGAACAACGCCCTTTATGGTGGAGAAAGTGCCCAACCCATTTCCCCAGCTGCCTTGCCTCACCCCTCGATACCGCAACTTGCGATGATTTGAGTTGCCGACTCTGTTGCTAATGGCGGCGGAGGGAGATGAAGGATCCAACTCTCACGAACCCAGAGCAGTCGGAGCCCCGACCTCCTTCGTTGTTGCTGTCGCTTCATCATTGCCATAGCCTCCTTCTAAGCATCTCGATTTCGATGGAACTGGACCCGAGGACAACAACGTTTGGTGGAAGGCCAAGAGTTCTCACACGGACTCCACGGATGTGCATCTCCCAAGAAGGTTCAACGAGGATATGGCAAAGAGTTCTCGCTAAACTGGCGGTGGCGCCGCCGAAGTGGCCTTGTAGTTGGCGGCGCTGATCGACGATTGAGGAGATGCCGGAGATGATCGAAGAGATGTCCCGTTGCTACCAACTCCATCGACGATTGAGGAGATATCGGAGATGATCGATTGACGAGATTGCTGCACCGACCGACGATTGAGGCCTCTCACGTTTTGTCTCTGTTTGCTCTATTTTTGGTTAATCGACATTGAATTCATCTCCTCTCTTCCATTAAAATCATTTTGTCCCTTGGCCATGCTAAGGGGAGAGGATGAGTCACTAAAGCGGGGGAGAGCGCGCATTGTTTTAGGCCACAGTGGCAAGCCTTCATTTAGCGACAACTGGGGAGTCGGGAGGTGGAAGAGAGAGTTGGAGAAGAAAGGGGAGTGGGTCGGGTGGGAGTGTGTATAGGGTTGAGTCATGGGTGGTTTTGATAATGTGTCCAGTTTTGATGATGTGGTGGGTCAATTATAAAAAAAAATTGGTCAAAATATGCTGATTTGGCATTTCTTTTAACCATGTGAGCAAAAACTGAAGGCATTAACGAAAGCTAACTGTCAGTGACTAAATTTGGATTCTTTAACTAATCTTAGTGAGCATGAATGGAATATAGTAATTTTAGTGGCAAATGTGACATTTTTTAGTAATCTCAATGACCAAATTGCAATTTAGCCATTTTATAAAAGTAGTGTGGTTTGTGGTTTTTGTGGCATGTATGGATTTTTTTGGCATGCTTCATTGTGTTTGTTGTGTGTTTTAATAAACTTGTGATATGCTTTATAGGACTTGTGGTATGCTTCATGAAATTTATGGTCTGTTTTATTAGATTTGTGGTATGCTTCATCATCAGATTAGTGGTATACTTTAGAAACTTGTGGTGTGCTTTATAAAATTTATAAAAATTGTGGTATGTTTTATAGGATTTGTGGTATGCTTTAGTAAACTTAAACCCATGGGTTGCTGAGAACCTCCATATATTAGTTGCTTATATTGTAAAAAAAAAAAAAAGAGAATGATGTGGGTTGCTGAGAACCTCCATATATTAGTTGCTTATAGGGATGGCAATGGGTCGGGTTGGGTCGGGTTTTGCCAAACTCAAACCCATGGGTTTATCTATGAAAAAAACCCGAGGTAAAATCCACTGAGTTTATCTGTGAAAAAAACTCGGGGTAAAATCCATTGGGTTTATCTATGAAAAAAACCCGGGGTAAAATCCACTGGGTTTGAAAAACTCAAACTCAACCCAACCCACTGGGTATCCGCGGGTTCATGGGTACCTATGGGGTTTTGTCGTAAAAATTTACAATAACAAGTTCCTATCAAAATAAAAGTCAAATATCAATCTCTCAATACAAATTATCCATATATAAAACACCATTCTAAAAAATTCAAGCAAATCACAAATTAACCATACAAATTGTTCAACGCCAAACTAGAAAACTCAAGAAAATTGAAGCAAATCACAAATTATCCATAAACAACATGATTAATTGAAATTTGGGTAAATACAATTTAATATCCAAACCTTTTATTTTAAATAATATAATAGCCAAACCTTTTCGAAAACAATCTAATATCCAAATCGTCAACTTTCCGTTCGTTTGACCGTTAGTTGACACTTCAAAAAAGCTTTCTTTAGGGTAAATTGTCACAATACAACTTTGTTTCTTGTTTTGGCATTGCAGATGACTGAATATTTAGATATTATATACCATCATGGTGGAGTCATGGACTTCTCGGGTTTGGAACTACGATATGTTGGTGGGTTTTCAGAGAAGATATCGATGGATATTGATGAAGTGTCGTGCTTCGAACTTTTTTGAAGTGTCAACTAACGGTCAAACAGATAGAAAGTTGACGATTTGGATATTAGATTGTTTTCGAAAAGGTTTGGCTATTATTAGGGGTGGCTATACGGTCCGGTCCGGTTAAATTGGCCCAAATCGATCTGGTCCAGTCCGGTCTTTTTGAAAATATGAGGACCAAAGATTGGATTGGATACATTCCGGTTTTGATCCGGTCCGGTCTTGACCCGGTCCGGTCCCAATTCGGTCTTGATTTTATATTGAGCTTGTGGGGATTTGAGTGGCCTAAGGCCTGAAAGGGTGAGGAGTTGGTTAAGTTTTGTACTAAGTGCAAAGGTTTGTGTACGTTTATGCAAATTACTCTTAAGTTTTGGGTGTTGAGCTCTCTTATCCGGTCTTTATCCAGTTTTCGATCCGGTCCCAAACGGTTTTTTACCTCAAATCTAAGCCCAAAGATTGGATTGGATTGTTTACTATCCAGTCCCGGTCCGGTCTTGGTCCGGGTTATACGGTCCGGTTTCGGGTAAAACCAAAAAACCCGGACCAAATAGCCATCCCTAGCTATTATATTGTTTAAAATAAAAGGTTTGGATATTAAATTGTATTTACCCAAAATTTCTTCCTCCTTATCAATTAAGCTTCTTCACTCTCCACTCGATAATATCAACTTCATTCTAGACAATTAGAAAGAAAAAAAATTAGACATGTCTCCACAAACATAAAGAAGATTAGTTGTTTAGAATATTAAATATACCAGGAAAATTAATTATATTGGTGTGGGCGGGTACCCATGGGGCGGGTTTACCTAAACCCAAACCCAACCCTATGAATAGTGAAGGGGTTTAAACCCAAATTCAAACCAGAACCCGTCAACACGGGTTTTACCCGCGTTGACCGGGTTGGGTCGGGTAGAATACCCGCGGGTTCGGGTTTTGTTGCCATCTCTAATTGCTTAGATGTATTTTTTTTAACTTTTAAATTGAGAATGAAGGGTACAAGAGATATTTATGAAGGGTAAATTGAGAATGAAGGGTACAATTGTTTCACCCAGGGTACCGTAGAAGGCACCATATATATATATATATGGTGCCTTCTACGGTACCCTGGGTGAAATCCGGGGTACCGCATACCTTGAGCATGAAAACGCTATCTAGACCTCGAATTAGCAGGAGTTTTGGGCATAAAACTATACCCTAACCCTTAATGAGTGAACCCTAGGTCCTAATTATCTAAATCATAAACTATAAACGCTAAGATGGTGCATTGATTTTTTGCCTATATTTGGACGAATCATAACCGTTGATTATTGTTTCTGGTTAAATTGATCTTGGGGTATAAGATTTAGAGAATTATGACCTAGATGTTGATCTTTAAGGGTTAGAGTATAGTATCATGTTCGAAAGATTAGTCAATTCAAGTTCTGGATAGCGTTTTCTTACTCAAGGTATACGATACCCTGGATTTCACCCTGGGTACCATAGAACTCCCCATATATATATATATAATATAATACATTTGTTGATCATAATGCCTCAATCTAACAATTGGAGTATGAAGAAACCAATCGACCCTTGAAAATATGAGTTCTGAGTTATGGATGGTTTTATCTTATGAAGACCGCTCAGATAGAAAAATAACTAAAATAAGTACAATGGCGAAATTGAGAAGAAAAGGGAAATAAATAGGGTAGGAAGTGAGTGGAGCGAGCGAGGAATAGAGAGATGAGAGAAGGAAAGGTCCCAAGCCAAGACTAATATTGACAAAGACGCAGCTCACGACGACTCACAAGTACACTACACACAAACAAATAGCAGGGAAATTTTTTGGGCAATATAGAAAAAGAAATTGAAAGCTCCATCGCTGTCCCATTGCCGAAAGCCGCAGGAGAGAGAGAGAAGAGAAGGAGAGAAATTGCCGAAACCCACTCTTCCTTCCCAGTCATCATCATCTTCTTCCTTTGTTCAACTCAATTTCCTCTCTTTCTTCGGAGCCTGTCCTTCTCCCTCCCCCGGGGCTCCTCCGCCCCGACCCGGATCTCCCCCCGCCGCACGCATTTCCCCACCTCTACACGCCGCCGGCAGAGCAAATGTACTCCGCCCTGCACTCTCTACCGCTGGACGGGAGCAGCATAGTCGGCGGTGGAGTAGCTGGAGCGGGGCACGTGGATTTCCAGGGGTCGTTGGATGGGACCAATCTACCTGGGGATGCGTGCTTGGTTCTCACCACGGATCCGAAGCCCCGCCTCCGGTGGACCGCCGAGCTCCACGAGAGGTTCATCGACGCCGTTACCCAGCTGGGAGGACCTGACAGTAAGTTCTTTCAACAAAATTTCTCCCCCATTCCTTCAAATTTTGGGTCCCCCGTTTTCTCCGCTCAAGGAGCTATGCCTTTACTGTGGAGAGTGAAGGAACCTTTGGTCCATTCGTTCCTCTCTCTTTCAATTCAGCCATTTCTTTGCAGTTCCATGTTGTGGGTTTCATTGATTACCTGGGTTTCCGTTTTAAAGTCGCTAAATTTGATAGTTAACTGGGGATTTTCTGCGGCAGGTTTCCCCTTTACTAGTTGACCTTCCTTGCCCATTAGAAATGCAGTCTTTTGGTTGGTTGAATGTGTTGAGAATTGACAATCAGGCCAATTCCTTACTTTTTCAGCCTGCCTATTGATGTACATATTTAATCTTTGAAGTGGGCGGATAAATTTTGGATGGTAGTTGCATGATGTATGAGAAGATGTTTGTTTCTCGGTATTATATATATCTACACTTATTGCCTTCCCATTGACCAGCTTTCGTCTCTAACTAGACAACTTCTCTGTTTCTTGTTCTTGTTGGCTTTGTGATTGTTTATCTTAAAAGAATCATATTTCCGTGCCAAACCATTTCCATAGATTACAGTAGAAAAGACAAACCAGAAGAGCCAGGATCTTGTTGACTCTGCAATACCAGGAATCTTCTGAATTTTATTTTGGCTGAAATTTGTAGTTAGAACTCTTAGCCAGTAGGAAATTTCACTGTGGATTTTTGTTTAACCCTGATAGCAATGGTGAGAGGTGGTTTCATTACATTCTTCTATTCTGCAAAGATTTCTAACTGTTATTGGCTGCATACCTTAACGGGGAAATGGTAGCTGCTTATTGGCACTAGTCTAAAGTGTCAGTGACCTGACCTGGAACCCGGGGAGTGGAGTTCCTCAGCATGTGTTCTGGACCACTGACTGTGGTTCGATCTGCATCTTGACTCATGGACCTGTTTACAAGTTGTTGGACTTGAATTCCTTGAAGAGAACTTTGCATATAATATGCTCACAAGATCCTAGAACTTCAGGAAATGAGCGCTGGTGAATGATTGAAAAGAAAAATATAGCTTTTGACAGTTTGCTTGATTTTAGAAAGTGCGAGTCATTTGTCATAGTTGCACCTACCTGGCATGCTGCAGAAAGATGAAGTAAGGATTCAAAGGGGACTTCCTTGTCCTATGGAGACCTCAAGTTTAATTTCCAGTATAAACTGGGTTGACCATTGTCATTCTGGTTGAAATGCACGCACAAGGAGCTTGTATGAGCGATAAAAATATGAATTCCAGTGTTTGAGACTCGAGAGGACAAGTTTTAGCCAATTAGGCTCCAGGTCCGCTAACTTGCTGATGCTGCCTGTTGTTTATATTGATACCCAACCATCCATATCGTATGCTGACACTTCTTTTATTGTAAAATTTTGCTGCATTAATGTGTCAAGTTCAGCATGTGGAGTTATTTTTATTAGAACCCTTTTTTTAATAAGAAAGGTAATTATGGACGGGTTGGTATAACCGTATAAGCAAGGAAGGTAACAACAAATAAAATAGGAAATTGTAATTCCTGAGGTTGATATTGATATGTATAGTAGCTGTTTTACATGCATCTCCTGTAGATGGCTGATTTGCAGCTGCCTTCTACTTTTTCTCAATTTAGGCATTTGTATCCTTTCTCATCTTTTTATTTTCTACCTTTTGAAGCTTGGTTAAGAATCAATGACATTTGATATGTATATCTTACTTATTCCATTTTTCCCTTGCTTTTGTGATGTTGCAGAAGCGACCCCTAAAACAATAATGAGGACAATGGGGGTAAAAGGCCTCACTCTTTATCACTTGAAATCCCATCTACAGGTTTGTTTTTGTATAGATGCTTCTTCTTTGTTAACCTTGTCTTGATTTGCTTGCCTTGCTGTGTTCGCCATTGGTTAAAATAAACTTACTAGCATTTCCTGACTTTATGTGTCACCCTACCAGAAATACAGGTTGGGAAGGCAATCCTGCAAGGAATCGACTGAAAGCTCCAAGGATGGTATGAATCTACATCTGTTTGGATCTGGTCTGATCCTTATTCATGGAATTTCTAGCAACTGACTCTTTATTGCCAGTTGTGGATTGGAGATTTCTGAATTCTCTCGTTCTAATGTATTTTAGATCATTGTTGTGCTCCATTTCATATTAACTACTTAATCAGTAAATAACCCCTGGGAGAATGTGAGACTGATGAAAAGTGGTGGTTGTCGGTATTTGTAGTCGGAATTGCAGCATCTGTGGCAGAAAGTCAGGACACTGGCTCATCTGCATCAACATCATCTAGAATAGCTGCACAAGATCTGAATGAGTATGTCAATCATCATCCTATCATTTTGCCTAAAATTCTTCTTTGTATCCTCCTTACGTGTCTCATTCTTTCCATTTATGAAACAGCGGTTACCAGGTCACCGAGGCTTTGCGTGTACAGATGGAAGTTCAGAGAAGACTACATGAACAGCTAGAGGTCTGCCATTGTTCTTGAGACTGTTTATTTTGAAATGTGGCTTCTGAAACTCTGACTGAGAAAACTGCAGCTGAGCACTTATCATGATTAGTGAATGTCTCGTCTGGTTCTAAGTTGGAATCTTTGTGCCTGATGTATTCTAGCTGAGGAATGATCCTTAGGCTCTTTTTCTCTGTGTAAAACAGGTGCAGCGTCGACTCCAACTCAGGATTGAAGCCCAGGGGAAATATCTACAGTCAATACTTGAGAAAGCTTGCAAAGCTCTAAACGACCAGGCAGTTGCAACTGCTGGACTGGAAGCTGCAAGGGAGGAGCTTTCAGAGTTGGCAATCAAAGTATCCAATGAATGTCAAGGAATGGCACCCATTGACACCATAAGGATGCCGTCTTTATCTGAACTTGCTGCTGCTTTAGAGAGCAAAAGTGCTTCTTCGAATGTGCCGGCTCGGATTGGTGACTGCTCCACAGAGAGCTGCTTGACTTCAATTGGGAGTCCAGTTTCGCCAATGGGAATGTCTCCACAGGCTGCTGCTGCCATGAAGAAAAGATCAAGGTCTGTCTTTGGCAATGGAGATTCTCTCCCACTGGATGGCACCACCATGCGTCATGAAGTTGAATGGATGATGAACAACATGGCCTGAAGAGCTAGCTAGCTAGCTGCCGCAAAGTTAGCATCCTAGAATCAACTCCTCGTTGTTCACCACGTCCTTCTCCCTCTTCTTGGTTATTGTCCTCAGATTAATTTGATCTCCTAAGTTAACTGTATCACCTTCAAAATGGTCTCCTGTATAGTTTGGGATCCTTTTTCTAATTGTAGGAACTTTTGCCTATTCAGTTGGAAAGATATCAACTTTCTCGTTTCTTCCCCGCAAGCACTTCACTTTCAGTTAACAGCCTTTTTGGCCCGAGGAAAATCGATCTGCAAAATCCTTGGCCGACGACAAACCAAACAGGCCTAGACTCTGCTAAGATTTATAAATCTCCTTATTAAGCTACTGCGTGTGCGTTTAGAGACGATGATTGATCAATGACAATTGTCAATGATACAATACAATTCTTGCAAGTTTCAATCTTTCCATGACCCATCAATTTATCATTACACTTCTAGCTGCCTCTTCCTTCCAATCTCCAATCCCTTTCTCTTCAGTTGCTGGTTGCTTCAATCAAATCAATCACAGTTCCCCTGGTAAAACTGATGGGACTTCTGAAATCCCCTGTTTCTCCTCCCACTCCCTTGTTAATTTACCCACCCCTGTTTATCTTTCGTGATTTTATTCACTTCATTTCACTGTAGTTTTGCATGGAACTCAACCTACCAAACAAAGAAGTAATATGACATGAGCTAGATATCTTGGGATTTTTCTAGAAATAGCACATTTTTTAAAAAAATTACAAAATAGCACCCAGTCGAAAAAATTTACACTAATAGCACCCTTTTTTATGGACCGCACTTTAGAGGTGCGTTTTATGATCCTGGACCAAAACCACATCTTGGCCAAGCGGTTTCAGATCTAACCTACAGAAACCGCTTGGCCGAGGTGCGGTTTTGGCCTGACCTAGCAAAACCGCACCATGGAGATGCGGTTTGTTTCTCCCAAACAAAACCGCATCTCCAAGGTGCGGTTTTGCCACACAAACCGCACTCCCAAGGTGCGGTTTTGGTCAATTAATTTCCGACATGCCATGCAGAATAACAGACGTGGGTCTGCATGGGCCTGCATGGCAGACGAAAACCGCACCTCTAAGTTGCGGTTTTCATAAGTGATTTTGCTTATAAAAGACTTCCCGGAAAACCACTTCTCTTCACACCTCTCCTCCCTTTTCAATTTTCTGTTGTAGCTCTATATTTCTTTAGTAGTTTTGCGATTAACGTTAACTCGTAAGTTTATTTTGTATTCTTTTTTATTGTTATTTTTGATTTTTATGATATTAACTGAACTACGGTTTTTTCGCAGATGGCATTCCAAAAGTTCACGCTTGGCTTACGGTGGAATGGTTACACGGAAGAGACCGGAAAGGGGGTCACCTACGTCGTCGCTACCAGACCGCTGCTTGAAGACCTCCATCAAATGTGCACTAACGTTACTTGCATGGATGGCACGAGAAGAGTTGATCGTATGGTGTACCGATATCCAAACAGAGAAAGTGGGTCATTGTGGCATGAGGAATATCTTATAACCACTCAGGATGAGGTAGATGCCATGCTCGAATTCTTGAGGTCTAACAATCTTTCCAAAGCTGAGATGTTCGTTTACACCGAGTCGGTCGTAGGCGTTGGAGGTCATTCTGGACACGGTCAAACATCTGGTATCCATGGTGGAGGTGAATTATATGCCGATCATCCCTACCAAAGTTACCATGATCCTCATTTCTATTTTCAGTACCAAGAGTAAGGTGAAGGTCATCATCAATCTTTCCCGTCATATGAAGAAGAAGTTCAACAGGACCTCCCCAACCAACCTCAGTACAACTTCCAATCAGGCAGCGGTAGTTTTCACAACTACCATTATGAAGCTGATGAAGGTGTCTTTCATGAGCTGGATCAGATGGAGGATGCCCTGCCAGCACTAGTCAGTGACCCCTCCGATGAAGAAGGAGAGAACAACGTCAGTGCAGCCAGCTCCGACCCTCTTGAAGGTGCTGATGATTCAGAACCAGAGTCAGACTCAGCTAATGATGATGAGGTGGCTCGTGACCGTGTACCAGTCCCCTACTACAATCACATTCCAGACAATTGGATGGTCGACAGCGACATGGAGCCGCCAGAGGTCCCCATATGGGGTCCACTCACTGGGTTTATGAAGGACCAACAATTTGGCTCGAAGAAGGAGGTGCGGCATGCCATTGAGACTGAAGCAATGACTCGGCATTTTGAATGGAACACAACTCATTCCAACACTAAAAGGCTCATAGTCAGATGGCGTAATCATCACAAGGGGTGCAATGTTAGGATTCGGGCCATCAACAGCAAGAGACACGGCCACTGGGTCATATCCCGTGCGGTGAACACACACACATGTGTGTCATCCATAACTTCCCAAGGCCATCGACAGTTGAAATCCAGGGTGGTTGCTGCGGCTATCAAGCATCTAATTGAGCAAGATCCGGACCTGAAGGTGAAAGTCATAATCGCTGACATTGCGAGTCGTTATGGTTATATGATTAACTATAAGAAGGTGTGGCATGGAAAGCAGAAAGCTCTGGCCGCCGTCTTTGGTGATTGGGAAGAATCATATGCATTCCTTCCCAGGTTAATTTTGGCATTGGAGGCGTCTAACCCTGACACGGTTTTCTCCCCTCGATACCAAGATGAAGAGATACAACCCCCAGAGCCAGGTAACAAGCACCATTTCAGATGACTTTTTTGGGCATTCAAGCCATCTATTGATGGTTTTGGCTTCTGTGTCCCTGTGATCCAAGTGGATTGTACATTCCTTACCGGCAAGTACAAGGACACTATCCTGATTGCCAGTGGGGCGGATGCAAACAGACAAGTCTTTCCTTTAGCCTTCGCCATTGTTGAGGGAGAGAATGCTGATAGCTATGGATGGTTTTTCCGGCAAATTCAAATCCACGTCACCAGGAGGACGAACCTGACAATAATCTATGATCGGCACGCCGGCATTAGAGCTTCCATCTTAGGTTTAGATCCAGCCTGGAAGTGGTCCCAAAGGTGGTGCATATGACACTTCAAGAGCAACTGGAACCATCATTTCAAGCGGAAGAAGCTTGCTGATAATTTGTGGTGGATTGGTAAGTTCTCTATTAGCCGTTTAATTTTGTCAGCTAACAATATCTTGTAATCATAAGAGTGGTGCACTTGTTAGACTCTTTCTAAAGAGATGCATGCCTAAGGAAATGGGGTTTTAAGCGATTATCATGGTCCTCCCATTTCCTGGGAAAATCGGGGTTTAAGTGATCTTCGGATCCCCCCTTTTTCTGTCAAACATGCTGTGTTTCTAAGGAGATGTATACATCTCCTAAGAGTCTAACGAGAGTACCTCCGGATTGTTCGAATTGTACTAAACTGCCGAAAATTGACTAACGTACTACTTTTCTGTGTCTTCCTCAGCGGTTGCCTACCAAGAGAAAAAATTTCTGGAGAAGATGCAGAAGATGCGCGAGTTATGCCCTGAAGGGGCACAGTGGCTGGATGGACACGACCTATCCATGTGGACATTTCATAAAGATGGAGGGACAAGATGGGGTATTGCCACAACGAACTCAGGTGAGAGTATCAACTCTGTCTACAAGGCCGTTCGTGCACTGCCAATCTCTACCATTGTGGAGATGACTTTTTGGAAAACGAATGCATGGTTCGTCAACCGACTCCACTGGGCAAGGACGAACGAGGCACAGGGAAAGGTCCATGTCTATAAAGTCATGGAAGTAATGGAGAATGACAATCGCAAGAGCAGTCGACATAGTGTAACCGTTATGAATCGGGCAAATGGCCAGTATAGCGTGACGACTGGACATCAAGAGGATGGTAGACGGGGAGGCCACCGCCATGAAGTTTTGGTTAATTTCAGGACAAAAGTTGGTGAGTGCTCATGCCAGAAGTATCAGGGGAGAGGGTGGCCTTGTTCTCATGCAATGGCCGTAATTAAAAACAGGAGCAAAGACCCCCGTCACTTCGTTAGTCCATTCTTCAATATCGACTCACTCAAAAACACCTATGGACGGAGTTTCCGTGCATTGCCCGATGAAGCTTATTGGCCGTTGTACGAAGGAAAATTGACCACCCCGCCGTTTGGACAGAGGCGTGAACCGGGTCGCCCGAGGAAAAAGAGAATTCATAACGAAATGGATCAAAGTGGAAGACCACCACGAGCCCAAGATGATGTTCAATATGCAAAGTTCCAGGACATGATAAACGAAGGTGTCCAGGACCGATTGGTCCGCCAAATCCGGGTGCTGATGTGCCGGACTCAGCTAATGCGACATAATTTGCGATTATCATTCTTGAAGCTAGTTGAGACTCTTACTTTGCAAGTAATTGTGTATTGTTGAGATCGTTGTATGAGATCGGGGTGGGATCATATAGGGATTGATGGAAACTCGGAGGGGATTGATGGTAGATCGAGTGGGGATCGTAGTATGAGCTTGGGTGGGGATCATTGTGGTAGGAGGGGCAGAACTCTTGGGATGAAGTAGGGCGGGGATCTTGGGCGGAAGTCGGGCGGAGAGCTTGGGTGGAACTCGGTCCGGCACCATGTGTCACAACCAGTGGGGGCGGCACTTTCCACGCCCCATATGGCGTTACGTCGGGCACGTTGGGCCTTTCCCGAACCCTCTTGATCTTCTTTCTCTCGTATGGTGGTGGGGGATCGGGGACATCAAGTTGTAGCGGAGGTGGCCGGGGGTGCGGGCATGGGCGGATATCTACGATGATCCCGACCATGAACTCTGATACAGCCAAGTAGACTGTTTGCCATCCTCCTGATGAAGCTCACATCTTCATTGCCCAGCTCAATTCGCCCGGTGGTCATATCTTTGATCCGCTCGATCCCATCACCCTAAATCACAAAAAAAAAAAAAATTTAGAAAAAAATTTAGGAACCAAGTAATAAATTTGATTTTTTAGACGGAATATACTTACTAATGCACCATCGGCCGCACCCTCCGGAGTCATGTAACGAACCGATGTTTGCCGATATCGATCCAAGTATGGGTCATGATACCCCATTCGACCCACTTGAGTTGGAGTGACAATGTCCTGGAGTTGTCGGTTCTCCCACATCGCGATGAATTTCGCCAACTTCATGGGCCAATCGCGAGTACCTTGCCGACCATCTCGGCCATGAAAGGCCCTTTGACTATCGGGGACCTCCAACGGAATGCACTGCTCCCGACCAAACTGACGGAGACATCGATCCGGCAAGTGCCACTCCACGGTCCCAAAACAAATTGGAGGGACCCTCGTGCACCCTTGCCCGATATGACCGGGGAATTGCTGGAGATGCCAATGAACGATGTTCTCCGGGTATGGATCGAAGACGATCTACAAGAAAGAAATGAGTAACTTAAGATAGTCAGAATTGGAAGAATACATGTAGTCCATGGAAAAAAGATATAAATGGATCGAAGTATAGAAGTTACCTCTCCTTCCCAAAGTCGCTCAAACCTCCTCCGATACTCGTCCAACTTGTGTTGGGCAAGGTTGTCGCATGTTGTGTGTCCGAGCCACCTTATTAATAAGACAATAATGAAACTACAATAAGCTAAAACACAAGGGAAAATGTGTTATGAAAAACATGATGGGGTATGTGAAGTTTACTTTGTACCATAAGCTTCACCTCTTAGGGGATGATCGATTGGCCAATCCCCGTCGAGACGTTGGACCGGTGCAATCCATGGCATATGCTCCCAAGCCAAAAATTGGACGATGAACATTGCGCCGCCGACCTCCCTCACAGCTTTTAGAGACGCATTGCACAAGTTGTGGTAGATATTAGCTAGGCAAGCGGATGCCCAGCTATACTCCCCCATCTCCTTCCAACTACCGAGGATGATCTTAAGCCATCCACAACTAAGGAGATTGCTTGATTTTTTGGAGAAGAACACTCCTCCGATCATGCCTATAAGATAGACACGAGCATATCTCTCCTTCTCATCCTCTGGACTTTCCTCGGTTAGGGGATGACTCTCGTAATGGTCTCTAAAATACTTCGTCAACCAAGTAATTGAGACTTGGTGTTTCCTCATTGGTGGCAAGCGATCGGTCGCATCAACGCACCCCTTCACTGGTACTTTCACTCCCAAAACACTATGGATGAAATGAACCCAACCGGGCAATACCGTCACGATCCTCGGGGGGATGATCACTCACGCACACCGGTTTGCCGTCGATGGGCAGATGAGTTAGGATGGCGACATCCTTTAGCGTGATGGTGGTCTGTCCTTCTCTAAAGTTGAAACAATGGGTCTCCTTTCTCCATCTCTCAACTAATGCGGTGATGAGTTGGCGATCAACTTTGATGCCGTTAAAATGCCTAATGGGGTCCAATCGTGCCCTTTTGAGAAAGGGCAAGATAGTTGGGTGGAATGGGAACACATTGGTCGTACCCCTGTAGCGGAGTATTGTTTGTGCCTCCTAGCGAAAATGTACACGTTAATTATTATATATTAGTAAGGGTTTTTTTCTTATAACTAAATTAATTAAATTATTTAACTTCAAGCAATATTTTATTATCATAAAAGACATTTCATATAATTAACATAATAACATTCTAAATGAATAATAATTTAAAGAGATACATACATATTATCATAAAACAAACATCCTAAATTAATTAGCATAATAACATTCTAAATGAATAATAATTTAAAGAGATACATACATATTATCGTAAAACAAACATACTAAATTAATTAACATAAATAACATTGTTAATGAATAATAATATAAAGAGAAGCATACATATTATCGTAAAACAAACATACTAAATTAATTAACATAAATAACATTGTTAATGAATAATAATTTAAAGAGAAACATACATATTATCGTAAAGCAAAATACTAAATTAATTAACATAAATAATATTGTTAATGAATAATAATTTAAAGAGAAACATACATATTCAAATGTTTGAAATTAATAAAATTCATTTTGTACACATAAAAATAAATCGTATTGGTTGTTTGGTAAATAATTTAATCGTATTGGTTGTTTTAAATAATTTAATCGAATACAGAGCAACACTCGTTAGACTCTTAGAAGAGGTATACATCTTCTTAGAAACACAGTCTTTTTGACAGAAAAAGGGGGGATCCGAGGATCTCTTAATACCCGATTTTCCCAGGGAATGGGAGGATATGATAATCGCTTAAAACCCCATTTCCTTAGACGTGCATCTCTTTATAAAGAGTCGAAGTAAGTGGCGCTATGTATTTGATTAAATTATTGAAAACAACCAACACGATAAAAAATTCAACATAAATTTATTTTATATTACACTAAATACATTAACAAAATAAAAGAAGGACAAATGGTGAAGAATTGTATGTACCGGGTGATCGTTCCAAACATCCCTTGACCGATGGTTGGGTTGGTCGTACAAGTCGGTTGGATCCAACGGTCCTTGCTCGAGATAATACCGTTGGTTGTATATATCCACGTCTTCCCCAACCTACGAGAAAATAACAACGAGGTTAGTACATAGATTAATTAAAAAGCTTATAACAACAACAAAAATTAAACCAGAATAATGAGTACGTACCGCTTGAAATTCATCAACATAAACTCCCTCTCCTTGCCACCAATCAGCCATTTTTTCGGGAAATTCGGACAGAGATTCGGCTCGGCTCGGCGGGTTTTGAGGAAAAAACCTAAGAAATGTTTTCTGATGGCAGATCGGACTTAGCCGCAACCACCAGACCACTATTTTCTAGGCTTTTGGGAGGGGAGAGTTTAGAGAGATAAATTCTAGAGGGAGAAGGAAGTATGGGTTGTGGTGTGAAGAAATGAGAAGGGAAGGGGGGGGGGGGGTATTTATACTTATCAGACCGCACCCTTCAGGAGCGGTCTGGTAATTTTGCAAGAGCAGAAACCGCTCCCTTCCGATGCGGTCTCCGCGTCCCGAGGCGCTGACCGCTCCTTCACGGTGCGTTCCGTGATCCACGCTGCCAAACCGCTCCTCCTTGCTGCGTTCTGCGATCCACGGTGCGGATCGCTGACGTGGCGTTGCTCTGCCCGCTAGATCGCCACACAATCCTGCGGTCTGCAAGGCCGCTGCCCACCAAAAACAGACCGCACCTTGGAGGTGCGGTTCCCATTCTGACGTGGCGCAAAACGCACCTTAGAGGTGCGGTCCATAAAAAAGGGTGCTATTAGTGTAAATTTTCTGATGCGTGCTATTTTTGTAATTTTTTTTTAAAAGGTGCTATTATTGAAAAAATCCCGGATATCTCTGAAGGTAGGGAGTGGCACTTAATCTCATCAGTCTAGCCAGTGTTGCCCTTCTCTAAAGCAGCTGTCATCCAAAATAGGAACCAGATTCCTCTGCCATTGGGGCGCTGCAAACAAATACAAGAGGTTTGATGCAAAGCTAGAAAAGAAGGAGGCATTTTAGTGTGCTTTATAGTATTGGTACTATAAAACATTTACAGCCATTAGATCATGTCCAAACTATATCAACCATTAGATTTCATTTAAATTATTAATTTATTATTTTATTTGTGTGTTGATGACCGGTACAACCGGTTGTCTGAAACCAAATACACTCTTCTTCCTTCGAAACCAATTACACTCTTCTTCTCACCGCCGAAACCCCTCTTCCTTCGATCCTCTTCCTTCCTTCGATCCTCTCCACGCAGCTAGCGAGCAGTGAAGACGGCGACAGTGAAGACGGCGAGCAGTGGGTGACGACGAGTGAAGACGGCGAGCAGTGGGTGACGACGAGTAGAAGGCGGCAGTGAAGGCGGCGATTCGGATTCCGGATTCCGACGACGACAGTGAAGGCGGCGAGCAAGGGACGACGAGAGCGAGCATCTCTTCGTCGATTGCAAACGAAGACCCTCTTCCCATCGATAGCTAACGAAGACTCTGCACAAAACCCCTCTTCCCATCGATAGCAAACGAAGACCGCTGACCTACCTCCTCCATCGCAACTTTTTTCGGTTAGTACTATCTTCTTTGGGTTTAGCTTGATAATTAGCTGCAATGGCGGTTCCTGTTGTTCCTTCACTTGTTTTGAAGGAGAATTTGCAGCATTTACCTTCTCTTCACCTTGTTTTTGCTGTTGAGGTTGTGCTTGATTTGTCTCCGTTTCAGCAACATCCTTAGCAGGCTCTTGTTGTTGTTGTTGTTCCTCAATCTTCTTCTGTTGAGGAGGAGCATTGGGTTCTTCTGTTGTTAGGGTAGAAGAATTCGAGTATGAAGAATTCACAGCAGTTGTGGTTGTTGTTGTTGTGGTTGCGGTTGTGGTTGTTGATGATGCTTCCTTTGGTGAGGAAGCTTTGGATGGATGTTGTTGTTGTAGTTCTTCCATCTTCTTCGTGGGAGGATTGATATGATATGATATGGTAGATAGAAAGGCCGTGTTCACTGAGAAAGTTGGGAATTTTTCTCTGTTTAGCCAATTGATGAATGTAGTTAAGTTTGAAGACCATGATTTGTTTGATTGATTTAAGTCTCTTTGCTATGGTTAGTGGCTCCAAGCATGCGATTAACCAACAGAAATGGGTGCTTATCTTAACTGTTCACTTCATAGTATGAGTTTTCTGTTTGTGGAGTTATCGGATGTATCCGAAGGGACTGTCTGTGGAGTTAGAATTGTGTATATAATGTAGAAAAGAAGTTTAGTGCAGTGGGTAAAAGAGCTTCCATGAATGATGAGACATTAAGGTCAAACTTAGTTAGGATATTTAGAGCATGGTTGTGGCTGATCGATATGCAAATACAGGAGGTCTGTTGGCCTTAGAATATACGGCAGCTTGGGAGTTACTCCCAGTTTTATTCTGTGAGAAACATAATTGTTGAGAGTCTATTTGTTATTTCGTATTATTTGGATATTGTCGGATAGGGGAATTGTGGGGTTCATTCGGTTAGGTTAATTATTCGGGTAGTAAACAGTAATTAGTCAGGTTATATATATGTGATGTTATGTTAGGTCAAGGGCAAGCAATAATACAGAATTGTTCCCAACTCTCTCTCTCCAAACTCACCTTGGCCGAACCCCCCTCCTCTCCCTCTCACCTTCGGCGGCTCCCAACCCGGGAACCGATTCTCTCTCTCTCATCCCAAATTTCCCTTCTTTCTCACCTAAATTCCCCAATCCCTAGTTCGTTTAATCCCTAAATCACACGCCTAGATCCGTAGTTCTCACAGTGGTATCAGAGCCTGGCTGGCGTGCTGATTACTGAGCTGCAGGAATTGAGATGTCAAACATGGACAAACCGCAACAGCAAAGGCAAGACCAGGAGATCGTGACTGTGAAAGATATCACGAATAACAAGTACGACGCGGTCGTGACAACGTTGGAGAGCTTAACGGCGTCCACAGAGCGAGCTGTTGCTGCTTCCCGAGACTCGACCGAGGCCATAGAGGCGCTGGGGGAGCGGATTACGTCCTCGATTGAGGAGATGGGTACTACAATGACTGAGAAGCTGTGCAAGGCCTTGGCGGACACCATGACTCAGGTCTTGATCGGCGTGTTTCAGGGCAAGGAGCCAAGCCCGGGGAACCGACCCGAGGCAGTGGAGAAGATGGCAGCGGCTGTAGCAACGGCCGCCGAGAAGAAGGAGACCAACCCGCCAGGAGCAGCGGCGGGCGGCGGAGGAGGCGAGGCTGGAGGCGCGGCTAACGCAGCGGCAGGGGCAGCGGGCTCGGCTGGGGCCGCGGCAGGAGAGGCAGGCGGCGCGTCGGGGACGGCGGCGGCGAAACCGCCAGGGGCTCCAGGCGGCAGGGAGGCCGTGGCGCCGGGCGAGGTGGCCGGTGGCGGGGGATCGAGGGCGGCACGGCCGTCGGGCCCGATGGGGCGAGGAGGCGGCCATTCCTGCGGGCCCAGACCGGCCGGGGGAGCGGGCAGGGGAGACGGGTCCGCACCAGTCTTCAGTGGGCCAGGCCTGCTTCCTGCTCCAACAGCCCAAGACATTGCAGAGGCCCGCAGGCTGGAGGAAGGGCAAGGATCCGGCGCGAAGGCCGGGGGTGGAGAGGCATACCAGCATGAGATGGCCGACTGGGCCTATTCCGGGATGCAGAA